ACTTATCTCTTGATGCCAATACATAAATATTTAGAAAAAGTATAATTTTGGACTAGATATGCAAGGATTAACATTACAAAGAAATAAATTGTTTATTTTTAGAGGGTTATAATTTTTGCACAGCAACCCGGTGTCTCCTAAACGTTCTGCTTATTCAGAGTACAATACAAACATCACTAAACATCAGTTTTAAATGCTGGAAAATCTAAAGGTCTCTCTAATGTTGCTTTTTTTAAGCAAATATCTGCCAATACTAATATGATTCTGATATCACAATATAAAAAGAAATATTAATGCTATATTTTGATTAATAACATCTTTATTAGAGAAATACTGGTGCGTTTTCCTTCAGCTGTCATTCTTTTCAAAAACTAGTTATATGCAAAAACCTTTGAAAGGATGGACAATGGATCAACAGCAAAAGCACTTTCACGGTTCTCTAAAACCAAGTTCGTATAAAGGCAGTGCATAGCGAAAGGCAGCAGGAGCAGAGATCTGGTCGGGGAAAGTAATGAGAACATGGAGCGGTCAGTCCACTCATCTCACAGAGTCCAGGAGCCAGGGGCCTGCAATGCCTAGATCAAAGGTGCAAGGCAGTGTCATCAGGAGCCAACATAGGGTCAGCAGCAATGATGGCTTTTAATGGGGACCCTGTTTCCTTTATGGTCTGGGAACCAGGGGGCTAATTGATAAGACATGTTCTGTCCCAGGAGCAGCAGCTCAGGGTTCCCAGGACAATTACACTCACTGACATGGATATATTGCTCAGCTTGTTAGAGTATTGAGAAGAAAGGGGAAAGAAGTGCTGCCAGCTAGGTGAGGGTGGCTGAGTGCAAGTAACTCATGGATATTGCTGTTTTGATGTCTGGAGATGATTCAAAGGCTTGTAAGCTAACTACAAGGGGCTTGTGTTTTCCTTTCAGCTGAGCTTGGCGCAAGCCTCTCTATATGATAACGCTGCAGTTTTCACAAACAAATGAACACATAAGGGGACTGGGGAGCTGAAGTGGATGTGGGTCTCATTCACTCTATTGCAGGGCTCGATGCAGGGCTACAACTATGAAGCTGCAGGCGTTTTTTGTAATTATCACAAGATGCGATAACGTACGCTTTGTCACCCTGCCAAGAAAACATAGACCGCCGTTGAGCAATGGGGGTGGCCACCAACAGAGCCTGGGGCAGAAGCCAGGTCTATTGAGTGCAGCACACAGCAGACCACAGTCAGGCCACAGTGGACCACCAGTGGACCAGAACTGGACCAAACCAGCAGAAATAACTGGAGTAGCACTCCAGACACACGACCAGTCGGCCAAGCTTTACACAGCCTGTAGACTAAGCTTGTTAAAGCTGAGCTGCTTTTAAGCCATTGTAATTTGAGCTCTACGAGAGTATAAACCAAGGATACATGGAGGATTGAGTTGCAGCCCAGGCGGCTTCTCTCACATTTTTCGCAAGTGCCTAAGCAGATGATTTAAATTATGCACATGGTGGAAGAAGCCTGGTCAGAAAACTGGACCGGCAGATGATATGAATATAATAAATCACTCACTCTGCAAGGAGAACAGTTTTAAAGTTATTCGCACTCGTGCATTAACACGTCCCCATGTGTAGAAGTGTCTGCTTTGAAACCGCAAAATCGTGGTGGGTCCTGCTTTTATGAATCTGCCACATAAAAACGTAACAGACTTGTTACACGCACAGGTGTTTTTCTAGCTAATGTCCAAAAAATGTTGATTAGGTAATAGAGCCTGTTTTCTTGGAGGCTGCACAAAGTCACGCTTTACAGTAAGGTAAATGAAAGAGACACAGGCATTAAGAGTTCAAGGCAGAAACGATATGTTAGCTGTTAATAGAGATGTTTTTGTCTTTTAAATTCTTCTTGCATAGCTGCTTTTCAGCTTGTGGGTACAGGCTAAGAAAGCATTCTGGCGATTAGCAAGGGGGCTGTAAAAAATCTGTGTGTTTTGATTCAGCAGAACCACATCAAACAGTCAAAAGGGAACATCTTAAACAGGTGCTTTGTCAAAAGATCTACAGTAGATGTTATTTTGACATTGGACACCCTCATTCCAGCTGTGTTTGCGAGCACCTGCTTCTATCATATAGCCTACACTGTTAAAAATGAAGGCTCAGAAATAGTTTTAGGGAAAAAAAAACTGGTAAAGAAGCTTTACATTATGTGTGGGTTCTTCAATTTTATAAAGGTGCTTCATATTTGCATATCTCAGGGTGTGTTCATACTTGGCAGGTTTAGTTCAATTAAAATGAACTCTGGTGCACACAAAATATCAGTTTGAGACCCCCTAAGGAGCTCAGTCATGGTCCACTTCCAAACAAACTGTAGTGCAGTTTGTTTGAAGTATGAACACAAGACATCTTATCAACCAAACACAGAATGAACCATTGTTTCTTCACTACAGACCTTATTTCTGATGCTGTTTTGATATGGAGATGCATTTTATCATCTCTTTATAAGCTCTGAATTGGTAATCATAATGTTTCAGTTTTAAATAGAGGCTGAAAAAATACTTGATATACATAAATATGACTGGACATGTTAATTCTATTATGTACTAATTCAAGTTTTTCACCATTTTATAAAAGCAGTAAACCACTCAAGGACCTGTGCTGCGCTTTCACTGCGCTTCACGTCGTTAAAAAAACTACTGTAATGCATGACTTCTTGTAGCTTAATGCTTTAGAAAAACAGGAGACATCCAGAAGACATTCATAAAACAACATATACATAAAACCAAGAGCTCAGTTAAGACACAGTACAGCATGGTTCTGAAAGCTCATTAGATATTATCCCCAGTTGTCACCAAATCTATGTCAATAAATCTAGTAAATCAGTCATGAATTATTTATATGCATGTCAAGTATGTCAGTGTGAATGCTAAGCAAACCAGAACTAAAATGCAACAATTTATAATTTTTTCCTTTGTTCCAGACCAAGAGAACTGGACTACAAATGTAAAACCAAAATGGTTCTTCAAAGAACCATCCACTATAAAAGTGGTTCTTCTATGGCATTGTTCCAGAGAACCCTTTTTGGCCCTTTAATTCTGAAGAGTGTACATGATTGGTGGTGTTGCACCAGCCAACTTCATGCTCACTTGTCTTATTTGGACCATTGCACTTGTCCGCGCTATCTCTCTTTGATCGTGGATTATTCTCCTCTAATCCCACCAAGTCTGTCATCTGCGCTCTGTTCTTCCTCTTTTCATTCTGTCTCTCTTGTTCACAAACCTGAGGCGAGGGAGGAGAGGGGAAAGCTGACTAGATTCTCTTACATCTCCCTTCAATAGCTGCAACCTGAGTCCATGCGGAAGGGGGAAACTCTCAGATCCTGCCTAATCCTTCTGTTGTGGCCGAGCTGCCGTGCTCACGCCTCGCTGCGCAGGTGTGGCTTCAACCCCACAGAGTGCTTCGCATGAGATATGTGCTCTGTTAGCATTACATATAGAGCATTTGTGTATATTTTCAAATTGGGCAGAGTGACAGTCCTAATGCCCTTCATGTAGTAGCGCTAATCTTCAGTAATTGGGCCTCAGCTGTATCAAAGTGGACCGAAGCAATGACTTATGTTCCAGGATGCAGCTGTTCTGATGCAGCTGTAGCTATTATTAACAGCTTGACTTTGTCCAAAGCCACCTTTAGGGGCAAAGCCCCCCTAATCCCATACGCAAATAATACAGGATCAGGCTGCCCCATGTGCCAGCAGAACCTGCTTTGGTTCAAGGCTAAGCCTCTCTAAAGCGTGATAGCTTTGTGAGTTTATGTAATTGCCTTTAAGAGGAAAAACAGCTACGCTTACTGAGACTTGAATCAGTAATGGCTCAGAAATCCTCAGACTGCAAACTGATACAGAATTCTGCCCATGCAAAAAGGAACATATTATAATACTATGCAAAATTTGGAGACCAACTGTTATTTATTTAATTTCCAGTCAAAATTGCAATTAAGTACATGTTCTTATTTTCAGTGAGAAACGAAAATAGAAAAAAGAGGAAAATTAGCATTAGACCAAATGGACTGATGAGTCTAAAGTTGTAAATGGGATTATTTGGATCATGAGAAGCAGAAAATGCAACCAACTTCTAAGACTGAACTTTAGAAGTGTGTAAAAATATCCCTGTAGATTTCTTTGAAAAACTAAAAGCAAGTCTCCCAAAAAGAATGAAAGCTATAATAAAGTCAAAGGATGAACACACTAAATACTGAAAAAATTATATTATACATAGTTGTTGGTGTGCCTGTGTAATTTTCTGTTAAATATATATTTTCCGCTTTTTTTCCCTCATGCTGAGAATGTATAACTTGCACTTGATGCAACTTTAAATAAATGAAGTGTGGTCTCTGACCTTTGCACAGTGCTGTATTTTATGTAGAATGTATCGTAATATAGACATAGTTATAAATTAAAAATAGATATACATATTCAATGTTCAATATAGATATGTCTGTATTCTTTCATTTTCATTTTCTGGGTCTGTGTTTTGCTCGACTCTGAAAGCAAGCAGCGACAGTAAACTTTTCATTTGTTTTGTGTTTGCATGTTTTTTGTTTCTGAGAGAGCTCTCACTAAGGCTTTCTGGCCAGTTAGCAGAGAGATCAAATGGATCAGCTCAAACGGCTGTGTGTTCTACTTGACTGGCAGTGAGAGGCAGAGGCAGCCTGTGCAACCTCTGCTGGGAAACTGATGGGGATTATAGAGGAATGCAGTGATTACACAAATATCAGACATGATTGAGATGCACATCAACAATGAATTCATCCTCATGAGTGTAATCAGCTGGAGCGAAGCTCGCTTTGTGACTTTTTAAGACCTCTCAGTTATTTTTGACCTTCATCAGATAAAAGGCTTGGACGTAAATTGCGGACTATCAGCATTACTTCCATTCATCATACAAATAATTTGTCATGTATTGTTTGACTTTTGGACTTAATGGAGCTTCTTGCAGATGCATATTAACATTGTGTTTGTCTTTGTTTTGTAGGTATACTCGAAATCAAGTCTGTGGATGTTGGTATCGTGGCTATCAAAGGGCTTGACAGCAACTACTACCTTGCAATCAACAAGAAAGGGGTGGTGTATGGAGCGGTAAGTTCATCTACTGGCAGCTGCAACCACATGGTGTTTGAAAGCAATGAATATATATTCAGCTTAAGATCATTTTCTAAATGTTCTATGAATTGTTTACACCAGAAAGACTGCCAAGCATCAAAGATGTCCAAAGTTGGCCCTCCCACCACTTTTATGAGAAAGAGAAAATATAAATATTAAAAAATCTTAAGAGTTTACGCATCTCATACATTCATGAGACACCAACTAATTCAGATTCCACTTATATTACTCAAACAATGTTTTCATTACTTCTGTGTTTAGTAACAGAAACATTAGGTAGTTCATTTTTAGCAGGTCTCTGAAAGATCAGTGAAGGCTCAGGGCCTTTGATGTCGCCTGAGCCCCTGCTCTATTTCTCATGTCTTTAGGCTCTTAAAAAGCCTCGGGTCCTTTTAAAGGACAGTTCCACTCCATTGCCTGTAAATAATCCCCTAGCAAAAGTCGGCTTCAGCAAAAGAGTTCTGTCATCTTCGAGAAAGTAAGCCGAGATGCCCCTCTTCCTTACACACTAGTCTCTCCTCAAATACTGCTCCATGCATGTAGCACCGCTCCATTCACCGTCTAGCAACACAATCCACAGCTCGGCCTTTGTTCCTCACCCCCTCCAGCTCCACCGGCTCCATTCATCTGCTCTCATGAATTGCAAATGTTACCTGAAACAGGAAAAATGGTAGCTTATGTCTCAGAGAAGTGAAATCAAATGGGAAAGGACCGAAATAAGAATAGAAATAAAACAGTAACGACACAGCAGTGACGCAGTAGCTCAAACTTTCGCATTGTGAAAGCACATAAACAAAGGCGTCTCATGGACTTAGGGGAGTATTTATCTATGCCACACAAAGGAAATTTATAATACAGTTATCTCATGGTAATCCTTGGGGACTGAATAGGTGTGGCACAACACCACCAAAAGTGGTGGGGCAAAATGCTTTGGTTCTTGAATTTGGTCCTTAGAAAAAATGCTGTTAGTGAGTGGTGGGAGTCCTCTTACTGAACATGAAATCATACAAGTTTCAGTTTTTGGAAAATGTCCCCCCCCCCCAGCTGAAATTGAGATTTTGATTGGTTCTGCTGCTGAGTTTGATTGTCTGTTCATGCCTAGAGTTCTGCAGTATGTGCAGGTAGGCAAAGGGTGGGGAACTGAGTCCAGCACAGTTTGGTGATTTCTCTCCACCAGCACGGCAGCTAAACCTGATAATTAACTAATGAGTTGATCAGGTGTTCTTGAGGAGGAACTGTGCAGGAATCCAGCTCTCCAGGACCAGAGTTCCCCACCCCTGAGTTAGGCGGAGTGGAGTTTTTTTTCCCCTAAATAAGCAGACTCAAACGTTGGTGGGGTGTCGCCCCAGTACTGAAAAGTGGTGGGTCAAATGCTCACTGCTGCTGTTGTTCCAGCAGCCATTGATATTAAAATTTACCTACTTACCTACCATTGCTGTCCACAAAAAACACTATATTTAACTGTGATACTTTATTCTGTATACTGACTGTTTTTGGGGTATCTATATTGTAAACTAACTGACCCATTCTCCTTTACTTTTGTTAAATCTCAATTATCTCACAGGCTGAACTTAATCTTCTAACAGCTCATGTTCTGTTTTTTTTTTCTCCAGAGGGAGTTTGGCATTGACTGCAAGTTGATAGAGAGGATAGAGGAGAACAGGTACAACACCTATGCCTCTGCAGAGTGGAGGAACAAGAAGAAACCCATGTTTGTGGGCCTGAGCGCCAACGGCAAGCCCATGAGGGCCAAAAAGACACGAAGAAAAAACACTGCCACACACTTTCTTCCCATTCCCATTCCATAACCACAGCCCTGTACATGCCCCGCCCTGGGAACAGCTTACTGCACTGAGGAAAGACTTGGAATTTTCTACAATATAAAAAGACTTTTTTTTTTTGAAAGGAAGGCACTATGTAAAGGAACTATATGAACTCATTTTCAATGAGTCTGGTTGATGTCATATATTTGTTTTAAGTTATTGGCACCAGAGAAAATATGAGTTGTTTTTCGACGCCAAATCCTTTCCAGTGGAGGAAATGGACCAAAAGGACAGAGGAGGAATGGCCGCCCCCTCCCCGGACAAACTAAAGAGACATTTCACAGAGTGTATAACTTGTGTGTATTTGTGTGTGTGACCTTTGAATGCAGTTATTTATGCTGTACTAACTCATGCAAGACTTTTCTAATGGACGTTTGTGCTCTGTGACTCAGTGGACTGCTAGTAACGCAAACACTTATCGGAAGCACTTGCTCGAAGGTGCGAGAGTGAGGGGCCAAGACAGATGAACGGCATACTACAAGGAGAACTTAGCCAAGGTAGCACCATAGCATAAACGACTCTAACAAATCCTTATTTACATGCAAAGCCACTGTATTTGATAGCTCCATTCTTTACCTGACTGCTTTTGAATAAATTATTTATTTTATGTAATATTTAAAGGAAAACAAAGGCAAAAAAACATTGAATGGACATTTTTTATCACTTATGCTCCTCTTTTTAAAGCTATTCTATCGGTAAACATGAATAAATAAATATATTTCTCTTTACTGCAGAATTTGTGTCCATTGTATATTGCTTTTCGCATGACTTGAACACACTGTGGATCCAAATGGTTTGAAAGTAAATGTTTAATAAACCATTAAGCTACAAAAATGCATATATGCATTAAAAAAACAGGAACAAAAAATAATGGCCTTCTAATAAATGTCTGGTCCACAAATCTCCAATACTGTTTGGATCATGGATTGCCACTGTTCATATTTCTACATGCAGGCTGATGTAGACTAGGGCAGAACACCCTTACAATAAAGCAAATAAATCTAAATGTACCTCTTAGAGTATAGTTATGCATGACATTGTGTCAGAAAGCTATGTTTCATTCCACAAGGCTTTATGAGAGCTAATCTTTCAAAACACACAAAAAATAAAGCAAAACATGCCCAGGATAGTCTCCACTTACAACCACAAGCATGTCTAGCACATAACTGAGTGTCAGTCACAACAGAGACACTTCAAACACTTAAATACCATTTAGGTATCTGTTGAATTTGTGTAATGCCAAATAATGATCATCTAATTTACCAAAGAACACACTTTCAGCTGTTTCCTGAATACAGTACACATCAATAGTTACATATTTATTTGAACATATCTGTATTTATAGCCTTTTTTGTCTAGTTCCCTAGACAGATATCTGAATACATCATATATAGGGAAAGCTCTTAGCCTTAGATGTCACCTCTTCACCTGATCATCAGAGGTGTTTCAAACTGTAATTACTTTACCACATGTAATGTAACAAATAATAAGGATATACAGTACTGTACAGCACAGTAGTCTAAGGTCTTTAAGGTTTCAATCTAGGTGGTAAGTGTTTCTTTGTTTGAAAAAAACACTAACATTACAATAAACACAAATGAACAAATACTCAATACATTGTGAGTTGATGTATGTCAGTTTATTGAACCAGTATTAACAGTTACCATCCAATTCCTAGTTATTATTATTATTATTATTATTATTGTTATTATTAGGTACAGTGCTGTGCAAAAGTCAGAGACCACTTTTTCATTCAGTTTCCAATCAAAATGGCTATTTGTATTATTTTTCAGAATCAGGAAAAAGCAAGAAACATATGTTTAACAGAAAACTACACAAAGGTCTCTTCTCCCCCTTTAACTATTCCATCTCCCAATTCTGAAACCAATGATTTACAGCTGTGTCCTCCCAACAAAAGCTATTCCTGACATTATGTTCTTCTTCAAAGAGACACTAACATTCACTCAAGCTGCTACCCAAACTCACCTTAGCTGCCTTACAAATTTCTCTCTCATGTGCCTAAAATGGCTAAAGGGGATATTTCTGGGGATTTTAGATAAAAGAAAATCCACTTGCATAAGAAAGGAAAAAATTTGAAGGAAAATAAGGGAAAGTTTCCAAAACTGGAGTTAAAAAAATGACTAAACGATATGAAGTAAATGGGCAACCATGCAAGACCTGGTAGACCACCAAAACTGTCACTATTAGATAAACAGCACTTAAAGCTTTTAAAGTAGACAGACCCAGAACCTCAACATTATTGAATGTGTTTGGGATTACTTGAGTTGTAAGAATCAGAAAGTGTAACCAACTTCTAAGACTGAACTTTTGGAGGTGTGGAAAAATATTCCTGCAGATTTCTTTGAAAAACTGAAAGCAAGTCCATTGAAACAAATGGAATCTGATGGATGTTGAGGCTTGTGTTTAACTTTCTGTAAAATATATGTTTCTGTTTTTTTTCCCCAACACTGAAAAATGAATAACTTGTACTTAATAGCCATTTGACTGGAAATTAAATAAATGAAAGCACACTACCTGACTTTTGCCCATGCAGTATATCGTTTAACTCACATGTTGTGTGAATATTTCTTGAGAAATGAACTAACATAAACGATCCTCTATTGCTTGGAATAAAATCTCACTGCATTAACTTATATTAAAGTTAATATTATTACATGTATTGCATATCACTGCTGTCGGAACAAAACCTTGTATCTCCATTTTTTTCAGTTTTTGACATAATTTGAAAGTACCTGTTGCCTTTTATGTTGTGTGCAAATTTCATGATGAATGGAGCAAAAGAAATGGCCCAAAATTACTTGGACAAAAAGTCTGGTTCCATTGACTTACATTAAAAGTAAAGTATGTTTTTTCCTTCTCCTGTAAAATTACCATTTTTGAGACACATGGTTTTGTTCCGACAGCAGCGACATGCGTATACACTTACTACTTTTCGCATTTCAAAATGTACAAGCTCAGCTCACGAGTAAGGCTATTACTGTACTGCACACCTCTGGCGATCGTACCCATGTGTTACTCTCCACTCTCATCTACTAATTATGCTCTCCAGCCGCCCAGTGACAAGAGAGGACGTGTGGGATAATGTAAATATTAGTTACCCGTTCATGAGCTGATTCTAATTATCCTTGAGGTAATGCTTTTCCCGTAAGCACCAGATCAGGTCCTGCAGTTACCAAGATAACAGAGAGCGAATGGGGGGTCAGAGTGGAGGGATGGGGGTGTGGGTGTGTTTCACAATGGATCAATCAGTGTCAATCACAGGTTGCATGTCACCTCCCTCCCCAAAATCACAGTAAAATGCCATGTTCTCTACATTATCATAAGCAATATCCCGAACTGCTTCATGCTTGTGTGCATGGCCTGTGTGTCAGTTTGAGAAATTATGATTCACTTGAGCCAGATTTGATTCAAAGGGTTTCTATGCTTTCCCTCCTTTCAAGTGTGTTTTTGTTTATATGTCCCGTTGGGTTTTCCGTAAACCAGCGTTCATCTACGATTAGACCAAAATGGATTCAAGACACTAATGTGATTGAAGTCTCCACTCATTAAAGCACAGAGATTAGCGCACAGCTCAGCAGCATTTGTTAGCCTCTAGCCTCACTAGCGCACACCATAGATGTCTGTAAATATTGCAAAACAGGCCTGCTCTCACGGAGTATATGCATGAAGTACATCTAAACATGACATTTAACAGTGCCAATCATTTAAAAGTCTATTAGCATGCCGTCTGGTCAACCACTGCAGCTTTCTTGGGGCGAAGCCTTGAATTCAGTTTTTTAACCTTTTTTGTATATAAACTTGCTAAGAGCAACACATTCAGGATGCATCATACATATTCAGCGTTCAGGCCTGAAGGAATTCCCATATGTTTACCTAAGCTGAAATATATATTACAGCCTTCACAGCTTCACAACTTGACTCGTTCCCCAGAGGAATCTGTGGCTTGTTGACCAAACCACAGGAGCAGCTGTGAATATTTCATTCCAGAGAGGTTGCTTGGAGAGCACCAGTAGACAGGGCAGATTTTAATAGCCCTTGTGGAGAGCGGCTCTGCAGTATTTTTGGACATGGACGTGGTGACGTTGAGCCAGGCCCAAGGAGTTCCAGTAACAGAGGTGTGCTCCTCAACATTAGAGGAGCTCAACAGGTCTCTGCAGAGCATCGAAGCCCGGTGTCAGCAAAAATCAAAGAGCAACACGGCTAAATATAGTTTGATTTTCGGAGCGCGCTCGCTGCGAACGCAGAGCCAGTTCAGACTGAGGTTTGGATCTGCGACGATCTCTAGAGGTTTCCAATTTCTGTTCAGCAGGTGTGTCAAACATTTGCCTTGGCTTTGGCCGAGATGAGGCATGTGTTTATCAATTCAGCTCGGGTGAGTGAGAGAACTGCAGAGACGGAGAGGCTGCCAACACCAGGCAACGTCAACCTTTCAGGAGAACAGAGCGCTGAATTTACAAACTAATATGAGGCCATATTTTGAGTCTGTATGTAACTCAATATGCCCACAGCTTGAAAGTGTTTTTGGACTAAATTGGTTAAGTGTCAAACATGGTGGGGGAAAAACATAGTAGGTTCTTCTGTTTAGATACAGAAATTAACCATCAATTTTATTAGAAATTCCAGAACTTTTATTTCATCAGAGCATGAAGATGCTCAAAAGCAAGTTGGCTTAGCCTTGCTTAAAGAAACAGTCCAGCGACAAATCTAATTTACTCAATTTTCCACTTTCCCCAGATGTATTCGATCAGCCAAGACATGTTTGGTATCCAAGTTTGCTTCCTTAGTTTTAAACTGGGGCTACAAGGCTAATGTTGCTAAAAAAACACTAGAAGTCAATAGTCACCCAAATCATTTGTGGAAATAAACCCCCAAAACTCCTTTTGACCCATTCAAACCACATACAGGTCTTCTTTAAAGTCATATAGACTTATTATTGTTGCTTAGAGCAACAATGAGCTATAAAAATAAACAAAAGAAAAGTGAACAAAATAAAAGTAAGCAAAATTTTACCATGTAGCCAACAGCTATTTTATAAACCCGCCACACATTTGTGTGTGGGCACGTTATGCATGCATTTGCCTGCTGCAGATTACATTTACTATTTGTTGTTTTTTTATTTTGATAAGTAACTGTTTAATCTTGAATTGAGCTAAAGTTCAGGTCATACTGTGTCCTACAAAACATCAACAAGTCTGCACAACCTTAAACGAAGACCTGGACTTGCTTTGTGTTGGTTGAGAGAAGTTTTGGGGATATACAGTATTTATAGAAAAGATTTGGGTGACTATTGACTTCTAGTGTTTGTTAGTAATGTTAGCCTTTCAGCGTCTGTTTAAAACTAAACTCTTGTCATAATAGTGCAGAGGTTAAGAACATTCATCCCTTTTTTGCTCTCAAACTCCTGGGCTCCCCCTTCGAGCTCATTTGCTGGCTGTTTGTGATGATTAGACAAAGTTAATCCAGGAGTTTGGCCAACATCTGTCGCTTTGGCTGCTAATAAAGTCGGTGTTTATTGTGTCTGCAAACCACATAAGTAACATTTCACTAATAACTTTGTTTACAGAACAACTAATGAGCTTGATTAAAGACTATATAAATTGAATTTGACTTGCTTTGGGTGTTAATAAACACAACGATTTAACATTTTTTAAGGTAATTCAATAATTATCTTCTCTCCAGGTAATTAAGTGAATATAAACCGA